AGGTTGAGTAAGGTATACATCCAAAGAGAATAGGATCCCAAAAATCCAGTGCATGCAGTAGAGACAAACCTCAGTGCCACTGCCAGTGGCCCCTCAGTCTGCCCCAACTGTCAACCCCATTCAGAGGGACTAGTTTGATCCCATACTCGTTCACTGCCTGTCCAGTTGGAGTTGGTGAGCTTCCATTAGCTCAGGCAAACTGCCGCAAGGGTGAAACCTCATGGTCTTCACATTCTCACTCCTTCCACTCTTCACCTGGACCGTGGGAGCTCAGTCCAGTGCTCCAATGAGGTTCTCTACCTCTGTTTCCACCTGTTATTGGACAAAGGTTCTATGGTGATATTTACGATAATCATCAGTCTGACAACAGGGCAAAGCCAGTTCATGCACCCTCTCCTCTATTGATTAGGGTCTTAGCTGAGGTTATCCTTCTGGATTCCTGGGAATTTTTCTAGAGCCAGGTTTCTTGCTAACCCCATAATGGCTTCATCAATCAAGATATCTTTTTCCTTGCTCTCATAACTGTCCTTCCTCCATCTCAACTATCCAATTCTCTCAAGTTCTCCTCAACCCTCCTCTTCTCCTCTTCCTTCTACCCCCTGCCCTTATGGATCCCAGTTTTGTCAGATGATCTTGTCTGTTTCCAATTCCCAAGTGGGTCTATATGTTTTTTTCTTTGGGTTCACCTTATTACTTAGCTTCTCTAGGACCATGAACTATAGGCTCAATGTCCTTTGTTTATGGCTAGTATCCACTTATGAGTGAATGCATAACATATTTACTTGTTTTAGGGGCTGGGTTTCCTCACTCAGGATAGTGTTTTCTAATTCCATCTATTTCCATGCAAAATTCCAGATGTCATGGGTTTTTTTCCCACTGAGCAGTACTATAATGTGTAAATGTGCCACACTTTCTTTATCCATTCTTCAGTTGAGGGGCATCTAGGTTGTTTCCAGGTTCTGGCTATTACAAATAATGCTGCTATGAACATAGCTGAACAAATGCTTTTGTAATATGATTGGGCATCTCTTGTGTATATTCCCAAGAGTAGTATTGCTGGATCCTGAGGTAGGATGACTCCTATTTTTCTGAGAAACCGCCACACTGATTTCCAAAGTGGTTGCACAAGTTTGCATTCCCACCAGCAAAGGATGAGTGTTCTCCTTACTCCACATCCTCTCCAGCATAGGTTATCATTGGTGTTTTTTTTTTATTTTAGCTATTCTGACAGGTGTAAGATGGTATCTCAAAGTTGTTTTGATTTGCATTTCCCTGATAGCTAAGGAAGTTGAATATGTCCTAAAGTATCTTTTGGCCATTTGAAATTCTTATGTTAAGAAATCTGTTTAGTCCAGTGCCCCATTTTTTTAATTGGGTTATTTAGAATTTTAATGTCTAGTTTCCTGAGTTCTTTATATATTTTGGAGATCAGTCCTTTGTTTGATGTGTTGTTGGTGAAGATCTTTTCCCATTCAGTAGGCTGTCTTTTTGACTTATTGACTGTGTCCTTTGCTTTACAGAAGCTTCTCAGTTCAGAGGTCCCATTTATTCATTTTTGGCTCTTATTGTCTGTGCTACTGGGTTTATAGTTAGGAAGTAGTCTCTTTTGTCCATGCATTGAAGGCTACTTCCCACTTTCTCCTCTAACATATTCAGTGTGGTCGGATTTATATTGAGGTATTTAAACCATTTGGACTTGAGTTTTGCGCATCGTGACAGATATGGATCTATTTTCATTCTTTTATAGGTTGACATCCAGTTATGCCAGCACCATTTGTTGAAGATGCTTTCTTTTTTCCATTGTATAATTTTAGCTTTTTTGTAAAAAATCATGTGTCCATAGGTATGTGGATTAATATCCAGGTCTTCAATTTGATTCCATTGGTCAACATCTCTGTTTTATGCCAATACCAAGCTGTTTTGATTACTGTAGCTCTATAATAGAGCTTGATGTCAGGACGGTAATGCCTGGAAATGATAACCTATGCTGGAGAGAATATGGAGTAAGGAGAACACTCATCCATTGCTTGTGGGAATGCAAACTTGTGCAACCACTTTGGAAATCAGTGTGGCAGTTTCTCAGAAAATTGGGAGTCATCCTACCTCAGGATCCAGCAATACTACTCTTGGGAATATACATAAGAGATGCCCAATCATACTACAAAAATATTTATTGTATATGATTTTTTTAGCTTTTCTGGTATTAGGTCACTATGACCTCATAAAAAGAATTTGGAAATATTGCTTTTGTTTCTATTGTGTGGTACAATTTAAAGAATTCTCTGCAGGGTGATATCTAGAGAATGTCCTATAATTCTGGCATTTATAATAGTCTTAGGTCTTCACTGTATCTTAGGCTTCCTCTTCACAACTTCAAGCAGTCACCTTCTATGACTCTATAGGCACCCCAGCCTATAGAGTTTAACTATAACTTCTCTGATTAAATGATTAAACAACCTTTCCCATACATCTTTCACAATCTTATATCTTTCATTCCTACAAAGCCAATCCCACAAAGGCAATGCTGTCATCTCTTCCTCAGTTGAGGGTGGCAACCTAATTTCACACTGACTGCAGTTTTGTCTTTCTTCTCATAATAGTGGAGAACCCACTCCCTAGGCAGATGCTTTGAGAGAGAACTGAATTCCTTGTGCTTTCTTTTCTGTTTCATTCTCAGTTAATATTATGATTTTCCTTTTGAATAGGTCACATTTTTTACATTGGATCCCATGACTGATTAGGTCTTGCCTTTGGATCATATTTGCTATTATGGTTTTTCACAGTGTCTCGTTTTTCATAATTAGAATCTATTTAGATTCAATTTCTTTTTAGCACACATCTAGTCTTATAAACCTAAATTGCTGGAATTCTTTTCCACACAACAAACCACTACCCCACCCCCCACACTGTCAATCGCTTTCATTGTGGACCTTCCCATGTACAGTAAATAAGAATCAAACCATAGACTGAATAATCTGGTGTCCTGAAGTTTCTTCTCACCAAATAAATTAATCATTACCTTTAATTTCAACTGTAATCAAGTTCTCAAGACAGAAGCAAAAATAAAATCAGACTCATTATTCAAATACCATTGAAATGACCTCTAGTGTATTTTCTGGTAGAGTCTTTTATTGATTCTTAAATATCATGATGGAAGCTTTTATTGTTCATAGTTTCTCAGAATTCTTATTTTCTAAGCTTCTACCAGAGAAACACTCTCTCTGGCAAGCTAGGGCTTTTATAACCTAATGTACTAAAGCCACAAATCATTCCGAAAAGCCTAAGAAACTTATTATTATCTTTATTAGAACAAAACATCATTTCTTATACTAAATTTTGCATCAGTTATGTTATTGATTGTAGCAAGAGTTCCTGACACAGAAATCTAATGAATTAAAAGCATGTTGCATTACGTAATTCTATGGGGCAGTCCTTCATCACTGGTGCCTACAATATCTGGAGGTTGAGGCAGTTGGTCACACTGCATATATTATTCGGAAGCAGAGCAATGAACGTCTGTGCTTTGCTAGCTTTCTTTTGTTTGCAGCATTCATGAAACAAGACAAGCAAAGAGTTCCCATTTGTGCGGTGGACCATCCCACATCAATAAAATTATTCAAAAGGAACCCTCAATTGTGTTTCTAGAGGCTATTCTAATCAAGAAAATCCCTCACATGTGTGCCTGAAAACTTGTCTCCTAGGTACTGCAGATTTTCTTAACATGACTATCAAAACTGTCTGTCATCATATCCATGTTATTTCTTTTTCTTGTCTTATTGCATTCTTTAAGATATCAAGCATTATATTGAATAGGAATAGTGTGAGTGGACACCTTGATTTTACTGGGAATGTTTTAAGTTTTCTACTGTTTAAGAAAATTCATCTTGGAAATTCATAAATCTTCTATTCTTTTTGTAAGATGCTTTTCTCTTTAGCCCAGGAATGCCTGGAAACTGCAGCAATTTTCCAAACAAGCTTGTCAGATAGTGAAATTAATGTATGAGACTCTACTTTTAGTCTGAAGTATACTTTAAAAATTCTGAAAAGGTAGATTCTAGACATCTAGGAACATTTATTCCTTTCTTACTATCTGCAAGATGATTTGAAAGCATGTTTAATATAAGAGGGCTGAGCATTTAGTCCACAACTTAATGAAATAAAACTTATAGTTGCACATTAGACTCTTTCAGAAAGGGAACATATCAAACAGTTTGCTACATTATATTTTTAAGCATTAATTCATACTCATTTGTATCAATTCAAACATGACAGGACATGAAAAATTTAATGATATTTGAAAATATTATGATAATGGTACCCAGAAGCACCACAATTTCAATAGACTACAAATTCAAGATACAAAAGGTATATTCTTTCCATGAAAATTTTCAATTTGTCCTAACACAGAACAATAATTTGACATAAAAATAACCTATATATGCTGACATTTGTTAAATAAATGTGAATCATTAGATCCTAAAACTTTCTGTGTCCCTGACTCACTGGGAGAAGGCACTGTTTGAAAGTTGGATTCTGCAAGAGAATGGCCTACCAGGAAGTTCTAGGTAGTTAGATGACTTAGGAGCAGTCTGCTTATTGGGAGTTATGGAAGAAGCTGGTAGGTATAGAAGTACCACCAGGAGATCCAGGAAAAGCCAGGAGGCCTATGGGGTGCAGCAGAGCTATGCTTGCACAGTGATTCAGAGAATGAAGGGTATAGAATATATATGGAGACAGAAGTACCTACTTGATGGGCAAGGGAGTAAGCATCCCAGTGAACCCAGGTTTATGGGGTGAAAGAGTAGACTTAGCTGGTCATGTGGAAAAAAGAGCCTTAGTTTGGTGTTGCCATTATATTGATGTCCACACCTGCCTTAGTTGTGCTGGAATCAGAAATGCTCACCAAAATGGAAACACATATCAAGATCTAAACACAGGTCCTCATGAACACACACCAATTCTATAACAAATTGAGCCATATCTCTATCCCTATAAAAGATTTAATGTTTGCCAGAAATATTCAAAAATCTCCACCATATTTTCCTGATGGCATTCTTCATTTCTTTATTCCTGAAGGTATAAACTATAGGATTAAGCAATGGTGTCAGTACATCAGAAAATATAAACACATTTTTCTCAAAAGAGAATGCAGAAGTATTTCGTGCATATATTAATACACATGGGACAAAGAACAAAAGCACAACTGTAATGTGGGATCCACATGTGGAGAGAGCTTTACGTCGCCCTTCAGAACTATAAGATCTCAAAGAGAACAAGATGACACCATAAGAAACAAGCAATAAGGAAAAAATAATGATGCAAATAGACCCACTGTTGGCAAACACCAAAATGACAAAAATGTGTGTGTCAGTGCAGGCAAGCTTCAGTAATGGGAACAAGTCACACATGTAATGGTCAATAATATTGGTTCCACATAAAGGCAGCTGTAACGTGAATATAATTTGTATGACAGAATGCAAAAAGCCTCCTGCCCCAGATACCAACACTAGAAAACCACAGAGCCTTTGCGTCATGATGGAAGAATAGTGAAGGGGCTTGCAAATGGCCACATAGCGGTCATAGGCCATGGCTGACAGGACAATCACTTCTGCCCCTGCAAGGAAGTGGACAGCAAAAAGCTGTGTCATGCAACATTCAAAGGAGATAGTCTTTCTCTCATAGAAGAAGTCTATAATCATTCTAGGTGTGATTACAGAAGAAATGCATGCATCCAAGAAAGATAAAAAAGACAAAAAGTAGTACATGGGGGTACCAAAGAGTGTGGGACTGCATACAATTGTTACCACAATTACCATGTTGCCCCCAATAGTTGCAAGGTAGATCAATAAAAATACAATAAACAATATTTTCTCAACTTTTGGGTTCTGCGAGAGTCCCAAGAGTATGAACTCAGTGACAAAGCTCTGGTTTAGCATGACTTTGGAGAAAAATTCTAAAATAAATGTGTTCATAGAAACTTGCAATTATCAGAAAATTTTCTTCATTTATTTTTAATGTAATCATCAACAAATGAAGTAATTCAAATAAAAGTTTAGAACTCAACTTTTTTGTCAACAGTCTGTAGCAGGCAATATAGTATTGTTGTTTTATTTGTGCACAAGCTATTAAAGATATTCAGATCAAACAAACAAAAGTGTTGTTAACCTGGAAACTTTGGAGACACAGGCGGATTTTATCTTAGTAAGAACTTCAGAATACTGTTTGTCTACAGTCTACTTCTCTATAAAATTGTTAAAAAATTAATTCCTGTTTATGTATGAGTGAGGACTCTTGATAAAGGCAAAAGGGTAGATGATGAAGGAACAGAATCCAATGGATCAATGACCTACAAAAGAAAGTTGGTGACAATCACAGAGGTGAAAAAGAGAAACAGCTCATTGAATATATTTTCTTGTCTTGAGACTTAACTGTTTATAAATCATGTATACAAAGCAAATTTGATTGAGTAAATATGAGACATATGGTTTTAAATTCTTATGAATTTGCTATAAAACATGTTGATAGCTTATCTTCATATCTCCAAAGTTTAATAGAAGTCTCAAGTTGAAAATATCTAAATAAGAATCACATTAACATGCTCCTGAAATGCTAGGCATAATTCATCCAATTGATAACTCTTTCCCATAGAAACCTTTCATAACTTTTATGTAAATATTCTAGCTCCTGAATTTTCTTAGGTACATACAGCTTGAAATGTTATAGATATCTTCTTATATATGCATAATCAAATGTATTCATAAATGCTTTTTGGTGATTATTCACACACATATGCATGTACATATAAATGTGTAACTTCATATATGTACATATATATGCATATACCAAAAAGTGATGAAAAGGATAATGTGTCTATATGAAAAAGCAAAAGATAATATCAGTGACTGTCAGATAAAGGTAGCAAACAAATTTTACATGTAAATAAATCTAAACTCTGAAATTGCTTACATTTGACAATGAATTGTTCCAAAAAAGGGAAAAATCACTCTATTGAGGATATGACCACTAGTAAGTTTCCAGTGCTCCACTAAAGGCACAGTATCCAGAGGAGCAACACTAACTGATTTAGTTGATTCAACAACAACAACAACAAATAAAGTAGAGCAACCTTTGTTATTGATATAGGAGCAGGAAGGAAATGGGAGTTATATATTATCATTTTTAAGTATAAACAGTATAAAAAGCTCAACTATAAAGCAAAAATTAATGGATATAAAATAGACCAAATACAATATTATATAGAAAGAAAATTTTCTAACTGTCTGTAGTCAAATAATCTGAAATCAGCTTTAAGTGTAAGAGGCATGTGCTATGAGATGAACTGTCAGACATCAAGGTTTTGTTTCATGAGAGATAAACAGATGGCTCTTTTACATAATGGGATGTTGGAAAAGTATGATGAAGCTCAAGTTGGATTGAAAATAACCATTTTTGATGTTATCAATTGCCTCATCATCAATCCTTCACCTCCAAGTGCCAGGATTAGAAGATGTGCCATGATGAACTGCCACATTCATGGTTTTATCAACATATTCTATACACTGTAAGTCAGCAAGAAGATGTGAGTATTGATGACATCATTTTTAACACTATACATATGTTGATATGAAAACTGAAGCACTCAAAATAGGAAGATTGCCATTGTGAATGTGTTTGTGTTTAGAGAGAAAGAGACATAAGTTGAGGGGTAAGGAGGTGGAAAAGGATTGGGATAAGTTTGGGTATGAAGAAACATGATAAAATATATTTATGAAAAAATACTGAAAAAGTCTTAATTTAAAAGTTATATGAATTAAATGAAATTTATTCAGGCAGTGCTTTTATAGAACATATAAGAAATAACTTCAAATTATAACCATCTTTTATACTAGTACACACAGTTTTAAAATTTATTCTAAGTAATAAAGTAGAATATTTTACTTTAGGATATGACACAATATCAAAATATTTTCTATTGGTTTATCAAATCATCATTTAGCGATAATTAATTTCCTTCCTTGTTATTAAACTCAATACAGATTTCTAAAACAAAGAAACATTGAATATTGAAATACCTAAGATATCCATAAGGGGAATTATATATAAATAAGACTGTTGCAAAATAAAATCAAGTCCCATAGTACTATAAATAAAACATATATAATATTAAGGTTTTACTTATAAATCATTTTTATAGTATATTAGATAGGAGAAGCCTAGGGGGAAAAGTGTCAATTTCTTGATATTATAGAATGCAAGTGAAGGTATTTTAATATAAATGTTGTTACTATTATCAGAATATTTTCAGTAAACATCAGTATTTAAACGACAAAGTAAATTTTTATATAAAGTTCTGAAAAAAGATGTATTTTCCTCTTTTTTAAATTATCAAAAGTAGAACACATGTGCTAATATAGGAAGACATCATATATAACATACATAAACTATTATTCTTCCCACTAATAATCATACACTGAGTTAACCCTTCTTACCTCCAAATGCTCTTAGATTTCAAGTCTACACTTTCATGTAAGGGCTAATATATTCTGAAAATTTTATTCTAAAATTATCCATGATCTTCTTGTTACCAAAAATCATAAAAGTGAACATTAAAGAGCTATCCCTGGTCTTTCTCAGATGCTGAAGTAACTGGTAACTCAGCCTTTTTCTTGACTGGTGATGTTGGGTCATGTTTCTCCTAATGCCAACTGTCTATATTGCCTACTATTTCCTTCCCTCTCATTATATCAAAAAAAGCTTAATGATAGCATCAATCTATCTGCAGAAAACAGGATTTTTTGTTAAGGCAAATTGTATATATACTTAAAACAATCAGAAGGAATAAACAAAAAGAATGTCACTATATTTAGCTTCTTTGAAATATATTTCGAACAAGTAAAATATTGTTGTCAGCATTAATAATAAGTTGAAGTTGAAATATAATTTAAATCACTATTTATGCTAAATTATCTAGGCCAATCTTATTTTAATCTAAAATTATTATGTACAAATAAAAGTTGATTTGGTGTGTATAACTAAGCAAATTCTGTGACTGTCATGATAATAAGTACATTTCAGATGTTAATCCTTTTTCTTGCTCCTCCGCATTGCTCTACTGATTTCCTTAAATGACTCAACTGACTTGTATTACTACTTATGTGTACTATAGGGGAATTCTCTTTTCCCCCATTTCCTTTCAAATGAATTTTTTAAACTTCTCTTTTGATACATAGGTTGTTCAGGTCATTTTAAGAGAGGGGCCAGGCCATGACAATTACCACCCAAGCAGTTGAGACCATCAACCACTCAATTTTCTATAAAGTTCAGAGGTAGAATCCCAATACTGAGAGAAACTTAAGTGCATGAGGGGAATGTATATTTGAAACCATCACTTTTTGAGGTTAATAAATCCGACCATAATGTACTTTCCTGTGCTATGTGTTAATATGTAGTTGTGCAAATAGAACATTTTATAATCATTTTCGATATTGTATAGCAGCAGTTTATCTGGTAAGCTTTGTCACTACCCTATATCAGTATTGGTTTACAAACATCAAACCATACTACATTTATTAAAGCGTTAGAATGGCAACTAGTCTCATGTACAACTGAATACACATTTAGAAAAATGTTAAAGTTTTATTGGAAACTGTACAGAAAAAAAATGGTGCCTCCTTTATAATTTGGTTTCAATTGAAGATGACAAGCTGAAAATAATCTTAATTTTATTAAACTTGGAAAAATACATGGGAAGGAAGAGAACAAAGATCCTGTGAAGTAAAAAAGCAAAAAGGAGAGGAAGGAAGAAAAACAGGGGTTGAGGGAAAAAATAAAGAAAGGAGAGAAGAAAGGAGTTTAAACACTAACAACTTATTTATTGGGCACTTGTAGAGTTATTACTTTTAAGTGATGTTTCATGGCGTATAGGGTATTATTTCATTCATTTCTCTGTGCTCTTACTTAGACGATAACAGCCCTCATTAAAGATAAGGAATCTGAGCATCACAGTTGTTAAAAATTTCAAGAATACAATATGAACTGACATTAAGCAAATATTGGCCCGACTACATCATCCAAATTTAAGTTGGGTGATCACAATTTTAAAACATCTCCATAAATGAAGAAATGTGCCTATGAATCTCACCTTGTATTGGCTGTTTGTAAACCCTTAAGACAAACATCTTGTGATTTCGACTGAAATCAATTTGTGTAATCTTGACCAAAATGCCATATTTTATCCAACTTTTCCTTCTGCACATAAAAGTGAAGACCAGGTCTATCACTGAAGGTAGAGAATATTACAGGTGCATCCTTCATCCCATATCCAAAGTGGTTTAATAATAAAAGAAAAATGAAGGGTTCAAATTCACTTCCTAACTGCAACTAGAGTTAATGGGCATTCCCTGAGAGGTCATCTACTTGTGAGACTTACTCATGGCTCCCCAGGGTTTGGACAATTTCTGGCTCCAAGAGTATCTGAGAAATAACTTTGTGAACTTTTTCACTTGCTTGAGAGTTTGTAATATTTTCATTTTCTTTCAAAGCTTTTAGAATTTGAGGGCTGGTTCTACAAAAAACATTTTCACTTTCAGGATGAGAAAGCTTTTGTATACTGAATAGATTGTAATGTCTCTGTGCACAATTTATGTAAATTGTTCACATACTCAACAAGCATAATAAGATGTGAATTCTGTTCCACAGAATTTATTAATCAATCTGAAATGATATCTACTGGTCTGGGAAATACTCCCAGGGCTGTTCTTCAAAAAAAAAACTTGATATATAAATATATGAGAATGTATACATTAATAAAAATACACATTTCCTCTAAGAATATTTTTGATCTTTTGACAAGGTCATATATGTATGTATATATATGCATTTGTACATATCTAAACATACATATGTGTATATGCATGTGTACAGTATTCCATGACCA